CCGAGCACAAAAAGTGAGGTTATGCAAGAAAAAATGAAAAACAAGAAAAAAACGAAATAGGGAAAAAGACGAAAAAAAAATTTACCGAAAAAGAAAGGAAGGAAAATGACCGAGTCATTACAATTTCTCTGAATATTACTATATATATACTTATATATTCATTACACATTATTAGCATGAGACTCTGTCAATTGAGAAGAAACTTCAATTTTTCTTTCTCACTTCAAAGGGTAAGAAAAATAATTATTTATATTAAACCGTTGTTGTTCAAATTTTACATATAATTAAAATTGTTGAGCCTGTAATCTCGCAAATATTTATTTATATTAGAATATTCTTGTCCATTTTTTTTTATAGAAAAGTAAATTGCTGAGCCCGAAGTCTCGTAAATACTAAATTATTTATATTTACTTGGCAAACTCGAAGTTTTGCATATATTAATATACTCTTTGTGAGCCTGAAGTTTCACGAATATTTGGTATAAAATACTTACTGACAATTCAGCCTTGTTTAAAATCAGCTCATAATTGAAATTATGTGGAGAAAAAAATTACTGATGATGATATGTTAGAAAAAACATACTCCACATTTCATGCCTCAAATGTGCTCCTGCAGTAGCAATATAGAGAGCGAAGATTTACAAAATATTATGAGCTGATTTCTTGTTTGCTGGTGGCTGAACAGAATAATGACCTTTTGATGAAAAACCACCAGTCCCGTCCAACTGGATCTGTACCATTCCCAGAAGCGAATGTGTCCTCATTTCAAGGCTATAGACGCGGACGCGGACGCGGATGTAGTGGTGGTCGTGGATATGGTCGCAATAGAAATAATTATAATAATCGTGGTGGTCATAATTCTTCATTGATTCCCAGAAGGAACTTCACACCGTTCCACCAGAAGTGGAATTCAAATGCGACCAAGCAAGCAAAAGGAAAAGCTTTGCATAACAAAGCTCCTGAGATATATGATGACAAGCCTTGCTATAGATGTGGAATGAAAGGTCATTGGTTGCGTACCTGTCGTACGTCTAAATATTTAGCTGATCTTTACCATGCCTCAATGAATGATAAGGGAAAAGGAAAGGAAATTGAAATGAATTTTGTGGATGACGACTTACCAGTTGATATTACTCACCTTGATGTTTTTGACTTCTTTGCTGATCTAGTGGTAGTATTGATCATTTGATTGGTGATGGAATTGTCCATACCAATTAATGTGTCCTTCTCTAGCATGTTATCCCTTGTGTGTTTTATCTTATCTGTATCAGTATGTTTAAATTTTCAATGTATCAATATGTCTCTATCTAGGTTGTAACATTATGTTTTTATTTTGGCTATCTTGTATATAAATATAACATTAGTTGAAGTTCGTGTCAATATAATATCAAGTCCAGCAGACCTAATTGAAGGCTCCGGAAGAGCTATCATTGTGTTACCATGTGGAACAAAATTGAATATTGATGATGCTCTATACTCTATCAAATTCAAAAGAAATTTATTAAGTTTTAAAGATATATGTGTCAACGGTTATCGTATTGAGACTATAAATGAATGGGGTGTTGAATATCTCTGTATTACATGCCAGAAGCATATATTAGAAAAATTCCCTACTTTATCTTCTGGATTATATTATACAAATATAAGAGTAATTGAGTCACATGCAGTGACGCACCAGAAGTGCTCTGACCCAAATATTTTTATACTTTGGCATGATCGCCTTGGTCATCCTGAGTCAACAATGATGTGCCAAATTTAAAATTCATATGGTCATCCACTAAAGAACCAGAAGATTCTTTTAACAAATGATTATCCATGTACTACTTGCTCACAAGGTAAATTAATAGTCAGGCCATCACCTTCCAAGGTCGTCGTTGAATGCCCACCATTTTTACAACGAATTCAAGGGGATATATGTGGTCCAATTCATCCAGCGTGTGTACCATTTCGGTATTTTATGGTCTTAATTGATGCATCAACACAGTGGTCACATGTAAGTTTACTTTCTACTCGTAATGTTGCATTTGCTCGACTCCTTGCTCAAATAATCCGATTACGAGCACAATTTCATAATTATCCAATCCAGACTATCCGTCTTGATAATGGCGGGGAATTCACATCTCAATCATTTGATGACTATTGTATGTCAATTGGCATTCTTATTGAACATCTTGTTGCACATACTCACACCCAAAATGGTCTTGCAGAATCTTTTATTAAACGTCTTCAGTTAATAGCTAGACCATTACTTATGAGAACTAAACTACCTGTTTCTGCTTGGGGACATACGATATTGCATGCAGCATCATTAGTTCGCATTAGACTAACTGTATATCATAGTTTTTCACCACTACAACTTGTGATTGGTCAACAACCAAGTATCTCTCACTTACGAGTTTTCGGTTGCGCTGTATATGTTACCATTGCACCCCCACAATGCACCAAAATGGGTCCTTAACGACGACTTGGTATTTATGTAGGTTTTGATTCTCCATCTATTATTAGATATCTTGAAACTATGACAGGTGATGTTTTTAAGGCGCGGTTTGCTGACTGTCATTTCGATGAGGCTGTTTTCCCTCCATTAGGGGGGGGGGGGGAAGAAAAAGCCAGAAGAGCAATGAGTTATTAATTGGAATGTATCGACTTTATCTCATTTCGATACTTGCACAAATCAATATGAACTAGAAGTTCAAAGGATCATTCATTTGCAAAGTATTGCAAATCAATTACCCGATGCATTCACTGACACAAAGAAAGTGATGAAATCACATATACCAGCTGCAAACATTCTGGCAATAATTGATGTCCCTGTAGGACAGTCTGTCAATGTTATTATAAATGCATCTAAGACACGCCAGAAGCGTGGTAGACCAGTCGGTGCAAAAGACACTGTTCCCTGGAAGAGGAAAACACAAGAGAAATCAAATAAAGAAATTGACGCTTCTGAAGAGGTCATACTTGCAAAAGGAACAATGAAAATGATTGATCAATCTAAATTTTATAAGCAAGTAGCCCCAGAAGATAAGCAAGCCCCGGAAGTAGCACATGCCCCTGAAGAGGTACTGGTACCTGAAAATAATGAAATCTTAATAAACTATACAGAATTGTGGGATAGAAATATAGTTATTATTAGCGATATATTCTCCTTTGCAGTTGCTTTTGATATTGCAGGTGATAATGAGGATCCTGAACCTCAAAACGTTGAAGAGTGTCGATGTAGAAATGATTAGCCAAAATGGAAAGAAGCAATACAGGCAGAGCTAAAGTCATTAGCAAAACGTGAAGTATTTGGACCTGTAGTCCAGACACCTGAAGATGTCATGCCTATAGGGTACAAATAGGTATTTGTAAGGAAATATAATGAGAAAAATGAAATTGTAAGATACAAAGCCCGACTTGTAGCCCAAGGTTTCTCACAGAGACTTGGTATTGATTATGAGGAGACCTACTCTTCTGTGATGGATGCAATCACATTTCGCTTCTTGATCAGTTTGACAGTCTCAGAAGCACTGGATATGCGTCTGATGGACGTGGTTACAACTTATTTATATGGATCACTAGATAGTGACATATATATGAAAATCCCTAAAGGATTTAAAATGCCTAAAGCAAATAGCTTGAAACCACGTACCATGTATTCGATCAAGCTACAACGATCCTTATATGGATTGAAACAATCAGGACGCATGTGGTACAATCGACTCAACGAGTATTTACTAAAAGAAGGATATGTGAATAATCAAGTTTGTCTATGCATTTTCATTAAGAAATCAAAATCTGGATTTGTCATTATAACTGTATATGTTGACGATCTAGATCTTGTGGGAACTCCTAAAGAACTCACCATGACTGCTACTTATTTAAAGAAAGAATTCGAAATGAAAAATCTTAGTAGAACAAAATTTTGTCTCGGCCTGCAGATCGAACATTTACCAAGTGGAATTCTTATCTATCAGTCAACATACACTGAAAAAGTCCTAAAGCGCTTTTATATGGATAAAGCTCACCCCTTGAGTTCTCCAATGATTGTTCGATCACTCAATGTTAAGAAAGATCATTTTCGTCCTCAAGAAAAAGGCGAAGAAGTTCTTGGTCCTGAAGTACCATATCTTAGTGCAATCGGTGCTTTAATGTACCTTGCGAATTGTACCAGACCTGATATAGCATTTGCAGTCAACTTACTAGCACGGTATAGTTCTGCACCAACTCGAAGACATTAGAATGGGGTCACACACATTATGCGTTACCTTCGAGGAATGACTGATATGGGGTTATTTTATTCAAGAAAATCAAAGCCCCAGTTGATTAGATATGCAGATGCAAGTTTTCTTTCTGACCCACATACAGCCCGATCACAAACAGGGTACTTGTTTACTTGTGGTGATAAGAGCCACGATATTGATGTTCAACAGATACGCTCGAGTGATAATCTAGCAGATTTATTCACTAAAGCGCTTCCAATTATAACATTCAATAAGTTAGTGGAAAACATTGGAATGCGTCAACTAAAGAATCTTTAGGGTTGAACTAATGAGAGGGAGTAAGTGATCGAAAAAGTATTAACGTACTGTATTTTTTTTTCTTTTGCTATGGTTTTTCTCACTGGGTTTTCCTAGCAAGGTTTTAATAAGGTAGTTTTAATCTATGCAATACCATACACAAGAATATTGTACTCTTTTTCCTTCACTAGGGTTTTGTCTCATTGGGTTTTTCTTAGTAAAGTTTTGATTTTAACGAGGCATATTCTTAATATAATATTGTGAACCCGAAGAGAGTGTTATATATATGTTTATGGGATCCACAATCTTAAGTCACCCATGATGGCATTGTTAGTTTACGGAGAAAGTTCAACTCTTGTTTATGATGAAAGCCTTATTGGCTTACAGAGAAAGCTCAACTCTTGGTTAGAGTGAAAACCCTTTGGGAAGTTACAATTTTGAGCCTGTGTATATACTGCTTGGTACGTCACACTCTCTCTCCCTCTCTCTCACACTCTTTATTTCTCTGAATATTACTATATATATACATATATATATTCATTACAATACCAAAAATACCGAAAAACGCAAAATTGGGTGCGTGAGAACTGAATCAGAACACCAGAAGCAGATCTCAGAGTCTTGATTCTACTGCCCAGAAAATGCAGAGTTCATCACCATTTTCAAGCCACTCAATCTTCCTTATAACAATCACTCTCTGTACAAACTGACTCTATTGCCATTCAAACTAAACAAAAACTTCTCAAAGTTCCTCTCTTTTTCTTCTTTAACTATAGAAGGCTCACTGATCAAACTTATTTCACTTCAAACTATTTCAGGTCTCGTCAGAATCGCAGACAGTGAAGTGGGTTTCTGTTCTTCGCCGTCAATCATCGATGCTGACTCGAACTCACAGCCTCTCTATTGGAAAGTCACGAACCCCACGCTCTCCCCTTCTCATCTACAAGGTCAGTGCTTGTGATAATCGCGACGATTCTATAGCCGTTTGCTTGCTGAGAAAAGAAAAATAAAATATAGTGTATGCTATTTGTTTCGATTCTGGTCATGGTATTTTGTATTAAATAGTAAAGGAATTGTCCATTATTGCGAGAATTAAGAGAAAACATGTACTGGGTAGTCATGAAACTTGAGAAAATAATTGCAAGTACATGAGATCAGTTTCAAATTTCATCAATGAAAAAATTAATTAAGCTAATATAGTTACATTGGGCATACAGTGAAGTGTTGGTGGTTATTAACTAGGAGAAAAAAAGAAAAAAGAAGAAGTGGTGGTGGTTTTTTTGTAAAAATTCAAGACTAGTTTCCCCGAAAAAGAGAGAAAAGTAAAAAGAATGAAATTTCATAACTTTTAGCCAATTCCATGACGTTGGGGAAAAGGTTTGTCGAGTGGAATCGAGTTGCTTTTTACTTGGTTTTCTTGCAAAATGATGGTTTGAGAGAGAATCTAACAAAAAAAGATGATGCCTGTGAAAACCAATGCAATTTCATGGTATCACTTTCTTTTGGTCCAATAGCTGGGTATACAACATGAGGTTTCTTCACCTTAGTCATAACCATACATTTTCCCACCAAGTTGGACAATGATGAGATTCATCTTTACTAGACAGGTTAGCTATTCCCTTTGTGTTGCATGGACTTCCATTTTTTGTTTTAAGGGTGTGTACAGGAAAAATGACAGATTTTTTAAAGCTAATTTGGGTATTTATCTTGGCAGACTTGCCGGGTTTTACTCGCAGCGTGTATAAAAGAGATCATGCTTTAATTACCCCAGAAAGTCATGTATTCAGCCCTTTACCCGAGTGGTATATTCAACATGCTTTGGTTTATTTTTGGTTTTTCATGATTTAGTCCATTGTTGACTTGGTTATTTGAATTTTTTTAATAGGAGGAATACACTTGGAGCGTATCTGATTTCACCAGCGATGGGTTCACACTTTGTTATGTACCTTGCAAAGATGAAAGGTGTGGTTCAATTTGAAACGGCTGATATTACTGTTACATTTAAGTTCCTTTTTTTTTTTTTTTTTTTGGTTGTTGCTGGGATTGAGCTATTTTTTTTCCCTAGTTGATACTCCCCCCCTCTCGGAATTGTTTGTACCCAAGAGGATTCGAACCATTGACCTGATGCTTCCTAAGGCACCAGGGCCAAGTTCTTACCCACTTGAGCCAACCCCTTGGGGTTGATTGAGCTAGTTTCTTCTACATAATCTTGTTTTTCGGTGATTCAAGCTATGGCTTGCTTACCTTGCAATTGTTTTAATTTATGAATCTAAGTACTGTATGATAATCAATTCCTTGTGTTAATTATTTGCCACATAATTTTTGCATTTCATCTATATTACCTCTAAGCGACTCCATGTATTAACTCTGCAGCTTATAGTTGGCCATGTTTAGCTTTCTTTTTATGTAAGATTATGATTAGTGCTTTATTTTGTGCAGAAAATTCAAAATCAGGGCTCCCTCCAAATGATGTTGAGAGGTGTAGTTACCCTTTTGAGTCTTCCCCATGAAATATGTTTTTAAGAATTTTTTTCATATCCTGAGATATGGACAATTTCTAATATAATTATTTGTCTGGTTATATATGTACTTGACATGCTTCGCATTCTCCATTTTAATGTTCATCCATTAGGTTCATGTTCGTGGTTCAGGGTACTGCAACATTCTCTAATGTATCTGGCATTGAACACAAGCTGATGGTAAGAAAGACGAGTTGTTCCTTTTTATTTTATTTTATTTCATATTCATTGTGAGGCTACTATGTCTAATTTGTGATGCTGCTGAACACTGGATTGTAAAATGTTATAAAATGTATTATTTTCTTTTGGCCACATCCTTATGTCCATAGGGGAATGAGTTGTTGTGATTCTTATAAGAACAATGACGATTGGGTTGGCCCAAACGCAACTCCAGATCAACACCAGGTTCCATCATATAATTGATGGCTTCGGCGATGCCCTCCAAAAAGGAGAGGTGGAGGCTTACATGCCAACAATCCATACTAGCTGTTTTTTGCATTTAACACCAGTTGGAAAAAGGCTTTATTGTGTTGAGTATTGCATTACTCCATATATTGTTCAAAATCTTTGGTATCACACTAAGTAATTAGTTAGAATGGATATTTCGAATCTAAAGAGAAGATCAGGATAAGGGGCAAGAATAAAGGTGAAAATAGAGAGATTATCTTCTATGATCATGAACAATGTATGGTTATTAGCACTCCTCTCAAACTGAATAACGTGTATCATGCCAACAATGTAATGCATCTCTTGAAATTGACTTTTTTGTGAAGCTTTGGTAACATCTTCATAGAATCTTCATTTCTTGGGCAATTGTTGGAAATATTTAGAGGGAAGAAGAAACATCTTCAGGTAGTTCGTATCGACTTATAAAAGCATGTGATGAGTCCCTAGAGAGGTGATGTTGGATTCTGTAAGGGAAAGGGATGTTAATTATACACTTTAGTGTGAGTTATTATGTATCATGGAGTGACCAGCTTGAGAACAATTGGAAGTGAGACAAATCATTTCCAACTGAATAACATTGTGTTAAGTATTTGAACAAAGAGGAGTAGGTATGCTTCTCTATCTCTCGTACTCCATAATAAAGTGCAAAACATCAAGAGAGTGAAGCTGAGAGGACCTTCAGGACATTTCAGAATCAGACTTGGCTTTGTCAGGAATTTTTCATGATAAACTCTCTTCTAGCACAATTATCAGTTGTCCAAATCAGTCAGTCAATTCAACAAATTCTGGCTTATGTAGGAAAATCTGGAACTTATATTTGAGATACCATTTAGTAGATCAGTCAACTTTCAATTGGCCGACAGTTAATTTTAGCAGAAATTCCATTGCACCAACAAACTATAGGTTGCATTTATGTAATCATCGGCTCTAAAATTTGTAGGTAATGAAGATTATCTTTAGGGCTGTGATACCCTATCAGTCTATCACACTTTGTAAGAGAGTGTAAAAGATACACATAACCCATAATGTAGTGTCTAGGCCCCTATAAGTTTAAAATGTATATTATACAAGAGTAAATATGGGTGAAGTACTTGACATGTGCATTCTATCTATCTGTGGCTTCTTTGCTAAGGTGAATATATTGGTTTTACCCGTCCAGTAGTTCTCCAAGTTTTCAGTACATACTATATGGTATTTGAAGTTATTAACGGTGGATTGTATGTTTATGTTCCTTAATTGCTGCATATGAGGTTCCACATTTGAAAATTAGATACTGATGCCATTTTCTCATGCTTAATTTCTTCCAACTTGAAGAAACCAATTCCCTTCTAATTTTTTCAACCAAGGCTTCAAGAAATTTTTATACTTTATCTTTGGAATGTAGGTGGATTCATATGTTTATCTACCTCCGAACTTGGAACATTCCATCAAGTGTGACGCATCTGCTACACTTGTTGTATTTGAAAGAAGGTTTGCTTTCCCATAGATTACCCAAGGATTGAAATTTAATTTTGATAAGCCATTTCGGTTTTAGTTCAAAATGCAAAACATTTTGGAAATGTTTCAAAAGCACAGCAAAAAATGACAGAAACTTTTGGGAAATGGTTGGAAACGTAAAATATAATTTATTGTTAAATGAAGATAAGCCGATTATAAGCTAATTTCTCGTTCTATGATGTCCTGGATGTTGTTGATCTTCACGGCATGCTTTGCGCAGCTGTTCACTAAGAGTTCCTTTATTGGTAATTTTTTGGGTCTCTCTCGATTCAACAAAGCATTTTCCCAACTGTTTGGGGTCAACTACATGAATCTGTTTCATCATTCTGCTATATTTTGGTATTTGTCAGGACTATAAATTCTCTAATATAAAAAAACAATAATGATGATGCAGGAGGTAAAAGTTTGAGTTATATCATGATGAGGTTACTGTTCTCATATTTTTTCTGAATAGTTGTGATGGTTCATTTATCACTTCTGACTTCCAAGTGGTTTCCCTTTCTCTTAGGTATGCCTACCTGGGAAGTTATACTACTGAACAGATCATTGGTTCAACAGACAAGCAGCCACTTCTTGAAACTCCTGGCGAGGTCAGTTGTCAATTACATATTATGATCTGATGTTCCAACTCTCTCTTAAAAAATGATCAAGGGTATTTGTTCTAGTTTATTCTCAATTATTAAATTCAGAAGACCATGTTTATACATTTTCTTATAGTTTGCTGCGTTCTGCATGAAAACCAAACTTTGGATTTATTGAGTTTAATGAGTCTCCTTTATATATTTTGATATGTTTCCCATAAAGAGCTATTAACTTGAGTTGTACATCATCCAAAGAATCAAGTGTGTGTCATATATCGGTGCAAATTGTGCGGGCCAACCCAAACCCAACCAATTTTTTAACGGGCTTGGCCATTACGTTTTTTAAACCCAAGCTTGCTTGGATTGGAAAATCCCGATTTGAGGTTAGTACAAGTTGAAATTTTGAATAACCCAATTGAGTAAGTTCTACCAAGCTTGATTTCAAACTTCTTACTCAAATTCATAAATTTCTAAATGATGGGAGTCGTGTGATCCTTAATTCATAATTTTCTTTTTCATTATATATATATTTTTTCTTTTCTTTTCAATTTCAACAAAGGCAGGACATATAAGACAAACCTAACTCAGGTCTAACCTAAGGCCAACCTGTTCTCAAGTCAAAATTTTCCAATCCAAACACAACCGGAGTTCAGCGATTCCAGTGTGGGTTGGAGAACTCTGATTGAAGGCAGATTAAAGCTGGGTTGGGTTGAAGGTTCCATACCTTGAGCTGAGCTTGGACTAACTTCTCAATTTGTCCAACCTACCTGATGAGTTGTGTCCCTAACATCATATTTATCAAATGTATATATATAAGTTTGGTTACAAGGTATTTCAACTTGATTCATCTGCTATTCGTTGCATCTTTTTTCCCTGTGAATTGCTATTAGTTGCATCTTTCATCTTTTCTTTTCTTGTTATCAGGTTTTTGAACTCCGGAAGCTTCTTCCGACATCTATGCCTTATGACTTTAACGTCCATGTGAGCCCAAACTTGATTTCTGTATTAAATGCATCATGTACTTATGAACGTTATCTCCAAATTCCAGCTTTTTCCACCTGAAATGTCTTAGGCTATGTTGGTTGCGCTGAATTGGGATTGCATTGGGTTTGTAATTCTATGGTATTACAATCCCACCAATTCAATTCCAAATCCACTGTTTGGATTAACTTTGGAATTCAATTGTAATTGTATTAAACATTGTAAATAGATATGAATATAGGTATATGTATAAAAATTTATATGGACACATGTAATATATAAGTCAAATTTATATCAAGATTGTACTAGTATATAAAAACAGAGAAGGCCAGTTGTTGATAAATATATATATATAACGCCAGAATATACATAATCTATGTGACCTGGGCCTATTATTCAGCCTTTTAAAAAGGTAAGGCCATTTGTTTGATTAAAAAGAAAAAGAAAAAAAAAGGATAATGTTTTCTATTATTCAGCGTTTTAAAATTATCTCCAGAAAAAAAATTCAGCGTGAAAAAATAATATAAAAAATAAAAGGCTGCCAGCAGACAACACCCACATTACCTTTATATTATTCAGCAAACGCCCCAGAAAAAAATTTCAGCCTTGAAAAAAAAAAAAAAAGGCTGCCAGGATACCACACCCAAGTACAGTTATGCATTACTCTTGTTTTATCTCTTTTCTCATCATTTTTTAATGTCAAATAATCCTGTGTGTATATATATACACACACACACACACGAGAACGAGACACTATTAAATGTCACAGATGAAATTTTCATTTGCCCAATTCTGATATTGCATGAGTGTGTTGAGAGAGCATGGGAGAGAGAGAGAGGTGTTGTGTAGAATTTATTCTGGTATTGGAAATCGTTGGTTGGATTGTAGGATTCAAATTGCCGATTTGCAATGTTTAGGATTACAATGCAATCCCAATCCCAAATTAATATGTCATATCCAAACAGCGGATTTGGAATTGGGACACCCAATCCCAATTCACAAGCTCCAATACGGTGCCGCCAAACATACCCTTATAGATTTTAGCTCTACTGGTATTGGACATGAGAGTTCTACATAATGTCAGTTGTAATTTCACTTTCACATATGTGGTTTATATAGACAATGGTTACATCCAGAATCTTGAATGTAAAATCTTTCAATGTAGGTTTGCTAATCAAAAAAAAAAAAAAAAAAAACTTTCAATGTAGGTTCCTTGTTGTGGTATCTGGTTGGCACTTGATGCATATCGTATCTTTCAGACTTGGTCTTGACTTTTTCTTACACTTTTTTGTTTTTCTTTTTTAATTCCCTTGCTGCAGATCATGGATTTTCAACCAGGAGAATTTCTTAATGTGAAGGTATGCTATTCATTTTTGCTGAGTGAAACATCTATATATAATGCCCAAGGTCTTATTTCATAAAATTTATACTTCACGTTAATTTTTTGCTGCTTAGAGTGGAATTAATCCTAGGGAGTAAACGGAAGTCTGTGAAATTTTAAACCAAATTGACAAATTACATATTACATGATTTAAACTCTCGTTTCAAGCTATGCTCTGTTCAGACCATAAGTGAAATAATCCATGGGAACTTTTCAATCGTTAAACCATGTTTTTTAACCCACTTTTTATTAAATATTCTAATATATAATCATGTTTAATTTTTAGGTTATAATATTTTTTTCTTGGAGGTCATCGTGGTTTCGTTAATTATCCTGGTTTTGGGATTCTTGAGGTGCCGTTTCTTTAATTCTGTTTGTGGAAGATTACACCATGTGTTCGGCTTGTTTGTTGTGGCAGGAGGTCCATTACAATCAGCATGGTTTGTTACTTTTAGAGGGACAGGGTGTTTATCGCTTAGGTGATAGCTGGTAAGAGTTTTGTTCAGTAGTTGAGACTGCACGAGTACATATATTTATACTGCTGATTTCATAAGATTTTTTGAAATAGATGGAATACCTGCTGACATTATTATTTATATGCCTGTCTGGATGGAAGTTGCATATTTGTAATTGTTTTTGGGACAAAAATATTGAAGACTATCTCAAATTTTATCAGTTACTCGAAACACCAAAAGCAAGAAAAATCATTCTCCAGATTCAAAAAGCTGTAGCTTCTCCCAGATGACATTATTATAGATATGGTTTTTTGGATGAGTCTTACAGGAGTTCCCCACATTATATCATCAGTTGAGTTCAAAGCAGCCATGGCTCGCAATGGTGCTTGCTTGCTTTTCATGGGCATGAACTTGAATTTGTCTATATAAAACTCGCGTGTGCTAAACTTATGAACACTATTTATATATGTATATTTACACATTTATGCATATATATATGGTTAGTTTGGTTAGTGATACCAGTGTCAAATTTATGTCCGCATTTGTTTAGTGTGCTGCCTCTACTAGTTGTGGCATGATATTTGGCAACATTTATAGATAAACAGAAGTCCCAACCCCTCAATAGTAAATGTTGTCATTATCACACTCTGCAAAGGAGTTATATACTGCATCTGGTGGCATGTCTTGAATCGGTTGTTTGTACTGTCAACAACAATGTGCATGGAGTATCATTTTAAGTGTCCAAGTGATGGCACTTCCTTTGGTTTTGGCAGGCCTCAAAAGGTTATATATCAGTTGTGCTGGTAATTGCACAGCATGGCCTTAGAATTCTTTAGAAAAATATTGTAGATACAAAGAAATGAGTCACAATATCGTTATGACAGGACTTCTCCCCTTGACTTCTAATTTTGTGTATCATTTGCACACAAAAATTGATATTTTATAATGTCAAAACTGTTATATTTATGACCTGTTGACAAATTCCTTTCCCACATGAGCATACACTTCCTTGGAAGGAGATGCCAGAATGTGTTAGTTTAAATGGACTGGTACACTTGGTGTCCAACGTAGAAGTTCATATTTAATATTTGTTAGACCGTTCTCCAATTAAATAGTTGAAATGTTGTATATTGTAAGTATAATAATTATATATGTATCAGCTATAGTGTGTAATGTCACTGCAAAGTTTATCTGCTCGTATCAAATACTCCGAAACACGTGTTTTGAAGTATACGTGGGAAAGGAGGAAGGCTTTGAAGGATTTTGTGTTTGGACCTTTAAGATGTTATGTTTCTTGTTAGCTCCTGTTATTATTTGCATGGTGTCTTCTTACTTTTTGAGTGAAGTGCTCCCCATTTCATCATCTCCCTTTTCGACTGCATTCTTTCTTTCTTGTATTCATAATTTTACCATTTGTATCAACTTCCGTGTTTTGTGTTCTCACAGAGTTTCTCTTGCTTTCATTAAATAGGTACCCAGTTGAAGCTGGTGATGCCATTTGGATGGCACCATTCGTGCCTCAATGGTAAGTCACAAATATTTGACACTCTTCTCTCTCATCTTCCAATATGATCTAGTTGACATAGACATTGATATATTTTGCTACCTCACCAGGTATGCTGCACTTGGCAAAACCCGAACCCGCTATCTGTTGTACAAGGATGTAAATAGGGATCCACTGTGATCACATCCGAGATTCTTCGTGTCAATGGATTTCAGTAGTATGATTCTTTAAGCTTAAGTAATTTACGAAGAAGCAAATTGCAAGCTTATGTGCCTGTTCACGTTACATTACATGGATATTCCAAATGTATTTTGTGAATTCAGTACATTGGTTAATCCAATTCATCAGAGTACTTTACTAAAGAAATGGCTAGTTCTTTATGAAGGAAAACTTAAAAAAGAACCTTACAAGATAAACTACAATTATGGGCATAGTCACATACAGAGATATACATGAAACTTATGTACAGAGTGAAACTGTTAAAATGTTTCGATTATGGACATGCAGAGTTTCCATCCTCTTCCTTATCCCATTTCGATCACATTCCGAGGATCTAATATGTTTCGACTGTCTTGGCTGATGGGATGGTAATACAGAAATAATAGCCCATTGGTTCGACGATTCAAGAGTAAAATTTGTTTTGAAGGGTTTTTTTTGTGTCTTCTATGTAGACAGTACTTCACTACCATAATTTGCACTACAGTTGAGAGTTCAACTGATCAATTATATATTAGGTATATGATGGTTTAATTGCTGACGAGTTGAGAAATAATGTTTACATAACAAGCAGCAATCAATGGATTTATATCACAATTTTTAACATGTCGCGTTTTAATGAACCTGGATCCTTTTTTGTGCCATTACATCGTCTATATAACAACTCACATAATTTATGTCAGAATTTCGAGTTCACTTATGCAACAACTTTTTCATGTATTTGTTGCGCAACGATGTAGTGCTACCAACCGTTAATCAAACCTTTCATCCCAAAGATAATATTCTACAAAACAAGATTGCGACCTATTTTTGACTCTGCTAAGAAACTGAATTAACCACCTGTAAAAATATATTGTTATAATTTTGGGTCCACGGGATATATTATGCACACAATATAAAATGAGGATCATTTTCACATATAACACACCAAAAGCATTCCCAGTATTCCCAATTGTATGTTTTCAACATAGTTTACTATTAAAGAAGCTCTATCAAATCGTTTGCCGCGACACAATCAATATATCAATGTTGTTATGCAAGCGAAACGATGTAAGATAATTGTTACATAAGTGATGTAAAGTTGTTGCGGTGACACAGAATCCGAGTTGATCAAGTTCTCCCTCAAATCAACTCCTCTCTGATAGATCTACTAATTTAAAATCCAGTAACACCCTGTCAAGTCTATAATCCTTGGGAAGGAAAAGAACCCATCACCAGAGCATTCAGATGCCATAAAAGTATTTCTAACCATTCTACAAAACTTCAAACAAATAATAAAATGCAATCGCATGCTTTCCAATTCGTAAATATCAAAATCAAAATATTTATAAAAAATTCTCAATGGGTCACCTTCAAGACAACCTGCATATTTCTCTAAATCCTAGCCTGCAATAACACTAATACAATCAAAGAACAAAATAAAATAATTTCCAAATAATTATAAATTTATATTGCCCATATTATCATTCGCTAGTTTACCTACACATTATACACGGTTTAATATCATTTATCTATTACATAGACAAATTTTAACAATATCGAACTTTTAAGATAAAAATATACTCCAAATGCCAAGATACCTTATATGGAAGAATTTTGGTTATTCTCTTTGGTAAAATTTACATGGGTTGTCAACCACTCTTTCTCCAGTTTTGCTAGGCTGTTTAAGACCATGTCCTAACAAGGTTAAAAGGATTCAAGCAAATCATAAAAATTCAAACCTTACTGTTCACCTAAAGATCTTACCAGAAAAAAACTACCATGATTTCCATGACACCTCCTATAGTTAACGTGAATTAAATGATGATATATGAGTAATGCTTCATGATTCTAGTCAAATAACGAGAATAATCATAAATTCTTGAACTGTTACAACTACAACCAAGAAGAAAACATTCCTTCCAACACATCAAATACTACAATCAGCTTACCACTAGAAAAAGAAATCTCTGTATCTTCTACACATGAATTTCAAAACAAGACTATATTCTACTAACTAAATCATAGTTTCTGAACATCAGATCAGTGAAAACAAGGAATTTGTGTCCAACTAACATGATCCAACACGAATGCAATGTTTAATACAGCAAGAAATTTTTTATAATATTTTTGTCAGGCTAATTGTAAATCACCATAGATGATCATTTGCTAAAATTGAAAGAGAAAACACTGCTCAATACTTCAAGTTCAGTACTGCAAAATCAACATTGGAGGAGTAGACAAACTCTATTGCCTCTACAACATGAATTTCAATAAAAGAAAGTATATTTTATTGATCAGAAACAAGACATAACTAGATCATATTTTGAACTTCACATCAGTCAGAACTAGGAAAGAAAGTGAGTATTCATCAGCAGACATGACCCAGCTAGCATATAGATACAAATCTCACTAGTTTATCTGTCTAACAAGATAAAAAAAAAAAAAATAAAAAAAAAAAAAAATTCCCATATTTTCCAATGGAAAATCGGGAGAGGATTTAAGTAGAACTAATAACATAGATAGTACTTCTCCAACTATGAATCAGGTGACTCTGTTACCTTCATCTTCTGCTTCTTATTCCCCAATAACGCCTTCACAAAAGCATCAACAATCTGTTGCTGTGACTCGAGTATCAACTCGCTACGCTTCATTTCCATCTCCATTCGCATTTGCTCAATCTCCCTAGCCATCTCCATCTTCATCTTCTCCATCTTTACAAATCCTTCCCCCAACATCTTTATAGAAGAAACCATATCCGAAATCAGACCCCCCTCTCTCTTAACCCCTCTACTATCACTCTTCTTCCCAAACACCGGTCTCGGCAAAGAAGAAAACCCATTCAAACCCCTAGAATCAAGATTAGGGTTTGAGTTCCCATCAGTCACTCCACTATTCTTTGCCCTAAACCCAAGAGGTACTGAGTTCCTATCTTTGGGAGCCTTCACAGAGAAACCATTGGCATCTATTCCATTGTAGATACCGTAATCACAATCAAAATTAGGATCAATCATGCCGTGTTTCTTACCCCTAAATCCAGGAAGTGCCGGTTTTTGATCAATTGGGATTTTTAGACGAAATCTACCTGCAGCAACATTGATATTGTCATCAGCATCATGGTTTGAATCAAGATTAGCTTTCGAATTCCCATAAATCTTGCTATATTTCTTTCCTCTAATCCCTGGAGGACGGAATCCATCTCCAAACTCAGTACTATCATCAACATCTTCATCAGAACCATTGTCCAGATACGATGAATACCCATTCATAACCTTAGAACCAAAATTAGGGTTAGAATGTCCATCAATCTTACCAAAATTCTTTGACCTAAACCCTAAAGTAACTGAATTTCGATCATCTATATTTTTCACGCGAAACCCATCACCCGGATCGACACCGTCGTGATTGAAACTAAGAACAGGGTTTGAATCCCCATCAATCTTCTTAGAATTCTTCAATTTAAACCCCAAAGGGACCGTATGTTGATCGATTACAGTAGTTACCTGATTTCCAGAACTTTGGTTAGATCGAACGGCCAAGGAAGGAATTTCCATGGAATCCATGTTCTCGAAGAAGATCCAGGTAGAGAAGAAGCGTCCAGGGAAGGAGAGAGATCGCTGCTTCTCGGCCCGGTACCGCTGGCGGAGCTTCTCCATCTTGTGGCGGCACTGGGCGGAGGTTTTGGCAGGACTGGCGTTGGGGCAGCGGCGGCCAACGTCAGCGGCGACTGCATCCCAGTCAGCGGTGCGGAGGTACCCGCGGCGGAGAGCGTACCATCTCTCGCGATAAGCCTCGATTAAGACCACAGTTTCCTCCTGGGTCCAGCACGGAGCTGGGAATTTCCTTGGGGGTGGAGGTGGTGGTTGTGGTTGTGGCGGATCAGACATGGCGGAGGAATTTTTGGGAAGAGGCGCAGGTTAGCAAACTGGTGATGGTGATTAGAGAGGTTGAGGTGGTCGTGGTTGTGAAGGATCGGACTTGGCAGAGGAATTTTAGTGGTGATGGGGTTTGGGAGGCGTAAATTAGCAAAGTGGTCGTGGCGGTGGAGGTGGGTGGTGGTGATTAGAGCGGTGGAGGTGGTGGTTGTGAAGGATCGGACATTGCGGAGCGGTGATGGTTTTGGGGAGGCGCAGTTTAGCAAAAAGGTGGAGACGGTGGTGATAAGAGTGGTAGAGGTGGAGGTGGTGGTTGTGGTTATGATAGCGGTGGGTAGCATATTGAATGTAAAAGGATTGGTCAAGTGCTGGTTGGGTGGGTGGGGGGATGATGCTAGCGTGCACGGGGTTGTGCTGTGTACACGCAGACAACAACTCCACCACCATACTCCTGGCTTCCCCCACCACCCACCCATCCCCCACTAACTCTCTCTCATTCTCTCTCTAAAACTCCCTTTCTCTCTCTAGACATTAGGTGCTTATAGGTGGCTGGGTGGGTGGGGTTAGTGTTGATTGCGCCCACTGCATTCCCTTTCTCTCTCTAGACATTAGGTGCTAATAGGTGGCTGGGTGGGTGGGGTTAGTGTTGATTGCGCCCACTGCTTTGCTGTGGTGGTTACTGGTGGTGCTTTTGTGGCGTTTGTGTGATGGCGAAGGTTATTTAAAACTACTAGAAAAGTTGAGTTTGACTTTTTTGCCAGATTTATTATCAAGGCTCAAGCTTGGTCCGGTCTGACCTCTGAAGTGGGTTGGGCTTGATAGAAGTCAAATATACAGTGGTGGGGCTTGCGACTGACCCTACTTCTATCTTTTCTTAAACTAGACCTAATCTCACAAATGTAATTGAAATTAATAGAGAAATGATAAGTCCTTCAACCCAGTTACCGACTCTATTTTCGAATATAACATAGTTGAATCATGTTGAAACTCGTAAAAAAAAAATTCATAAATATTTCTTTATCTTCGACTCATTCCCAACCACGATGTGATGTATTCAGAGGAAGAGTCGGCAATTAAAGTCGGAAGACCTATCACTTCTCATCAATGCACCTTACAAATCTCAAAAGGTTAAGAACTCTCTCATATGGACATCAGTCAGTACCAGAATTTTAAATAAATCATAAGGTGGGAAGATTCATAATGATACAATGGCCTTTCAATGAATGGCAAAGTTCCTAATTCTATCTTAATGCTTTATTACATTGAATCAGTAAACAACAACATGAAATGGAATTCTACAACAGCAACAACTAAAATGAAATAAAAATGTGCCATCATGTCTGCATGACTAAATTAAAATGAATTAGACCTATAGCAGGGTTGGATACTTTGCATCCAGGAATTCCCTCAGAGTCTTGGCAGCCTTTTGACCACCCATCAGTTCAGCCAGTCTCTCTACCGGAAGAAGAGCAAGTTCCGCTAAGCTTTTACACCCATCCACAATAGCCCTGTAGTTGGAGTCCGTCACACCTGGAAGCCGTCTCAAGAACTCCACAGCAGATGTATTGTAATTCTCAGCTCTATAACAGAGAAAGTAACCAACTTTTAAAGACCTTGTTTGCACGGAAAAAATAAAAAAGAAGATATATATATTATATACGCACACTAATAACTAATCATGAACACCAACTCATTCTACTTGTTAAGTAGGGAAACTGAGCAAAAACTCTTGGGATTCAGATATATGAACAAGTCAATGAAAATTTTGCATCAAAGAGACTAAAGAAGTTTCCATGACCATTTATTTGATTCAAGAATGGTTAGGTCATGTCCCTTCTAGTAGCATTCACAGATGGGCCTTATTGTAGGCCGCCTTGGCTTTATTGAATAAATTCAAATATTCTTCAGCTCATGATTATTGCATTATTTATGTACTGTACCATTCTTGTCTAGGGGCATCAGAATCAGGTTTAGGATTTTTAAGCAGTGATAAACCATAACGGAGCATTGTAATCTTACCTTACATCATTTTCCACAATACCCTCTTCTGATGGTACCCCGACTCTAATTGCCTTTACTTCATCAGGTTCATCCTGATTTGCTTTAAGTGATGCAAATATTTCAGCAGTAGCATGCAAACTCCGGGACCAAACGATGCGCAGGCGGGGAAAATGAAGCACGAGCAATGACAGCTTGGAGATAATGCTATTTGGAGTGACATCACCACCAATATCACTAGAGGACTGCAAACACACAGCAGTGAATTAACCCATCAAAGCTTACAACCAACCTTCTGGCTTCCTCAAAATAGGTTATGTAAATTACCAAAAATGAAAAGCTTTTGTCTTGTGAAAACTCGATCAGAAGAACAGGTATCCGATAATAACGCGCCATCATCTCCACTTGGTGGTAAAGCCGACCTGATGCAAAACTACCAAAAAGATCTTGTATGCTCTTTCTTTCTACACACATTAATGGTGAGAGAATATAGTCTCCAACTTCCAAGGTCACGGGAATTATATGCATGCCCTTCTGGTGGAGTACATTTGGAAGGCTGCTCATGAACTCCCTCATATCTACAATGATCTATGTAACAAAATAGGAAATATAATGCGTGTCAATTTGTAGAGCAATAAATAATTGTTGATTGTGAAGGCAGAAAATTACCTACTTGTATTTCTTTTTCAGCTTCCTTTCTTCCACCTGCCTTTCTGGTTAATGAATTGTTGGAAGTAATAGACTGTGGCTCAATAGAAGAATTCAGCCCCAGACAATGCCCATCCTGATAAAATCCAGGCAATAGCCAGATATGCAAAAGCTTATGAGTACGAACGATTCAATCAGAAAGTAAAAGATGCAGTAAGAATGAAAGCTCAAACCATTGTATGCTATAGCAATATTAGTAAATGACGTCATAATTTTTGTAACAGTTGAGAAACTGAAACCAAAATTATGTAGGAACATGCACTTCTGAACATAAAGTTGGGATTTTTTCTTCCTTTTGCTGTAAGATTAGTGGATTGCGCTTCGACTAAGAGAGAAGGATGGTGCCCCAAAAATGGTGAATGCCCATCCCAACCCAACCCACATATAAAAGATAGTCTAAGGCTTCTCACAAAATGGTGGAATGCCACAACTATATGGTATTACTAATCCCATCCCACCATAATTTAGCTTGCGTTAATTGACTTTTCATTATAATTCTTATATTGTTGGTGTCAAAATGCTATGCAATGTATGGAATCCATTACCCATGATGTATGTAGGCGTAGAAACAATATAGTGCTTAACATGAAAAATATCCATGCATCAGAGTAGTAAAACGCTGGAGTTGAAATATAGTTCATATATATTAATAACAAGGCAAAGTTAGCGCAGAGAAAGGAGAAAATTGATTAAGTGAATGAAATCTATGACACAAGCTTTCTACCATTGGCTTCTTTATATATAGATATAGATATATATATGTATACTCACACATATAAGCTGAAAACAAATCGAAGATAGAATGGACAAGAAGAAGAAGAATATTAAAACAAACACAAGAAAATAAGGATAGAAAAAATCACCAAGATGGTCAAAAAAATGTTTTAAGTTGAGCACACCCCAAAAAGAAATGCATGACACCGAAATGTTTTGCCTATCATTTCCCAATAAAAAGTGATGCTCCAAACAAAAAGGTTATATAATTCAGGCAACAGTCCTGCGACTGTTGAGTCTAGGCTGTCATTGGGCACCTAAGCCAACCTAGACTCCATCACTAAATTCTCTTTCAAAATAGTTTCATGCTAATCATCATACAACAGTATAGACAAAATCCCAAGTTCCATTTTTAAATAAAGACGTTAACTTTTATAAGAAATAAACAATTATAGGTATAAGCATTTTCAATGTGAAAGCTCAGACAAACAACCATTTGCAAATTCTATGATTGTAGAACACAACAGCACGGAGCTATTTTTTTTTCCCCTGGAAATTCAATGTGCTAAATTTTTTATAAACAATAACTGTCAAAACTCGAAATAGTTAGTATCTAAGAAAACTAACGGTAGTAAAATGTTAATACCAGCTGATTTATGGAGAAACACCATGACCAACACATTGTAAAGGGCTAAAAGATCCAATGAATCTCAAAGAACATTATGTAAATTGAGGAAGAATGAAAAGCATAGAATATCCAACCTGATCAACTGGGATCATCATCATTGATTTCTGCCTAATCAAGGATTCAAATGCTCCATTTTCCCTGCGTATGCTTGCCTCGAATTTTTGCACCTCAGTAGATTCTTCATAGAAAAGAAAATATATTTTCAACTTCTTTGAGGGGTTTTCAGCTTTATAGACTTCAATTTCCCTGACAAAAGCCATGTCAGGATGGTAAACAATAATTACAGATGGATTCAAAATGTCTAGTATATGCTGATCACTTTCTAGGGCATAGAAGAACACAGCTGGGTGCTGCATGGTATTTCCAAGAGATGCAGCATCAACACCTTGGGCATGCTTCCTAAGAAACCCCTTGTCAACAAATGCACCTTTGGATATGCTCTCACCAAAGCCTTCATTTCTTTGGCCTTTACTTTCAGAAGCAGATATCAAGGTCTTATCATTCATTGCTCTCTCATTGTTACTTCTATCGTCTGCATTCACAGAATCCTCAGCATTTGCTGATGCTTTTTTGTTCCTTCCTTTCCCCCTTCCTTTTCCACGTCCTCCACTGCTCACATCAGGTGGAGGATTAGTTTCAGCTATAATATCCTTTTTACCCTGTTTACTTAATTCTAATGCTGCAGCCAGAAGTGCATCCTTTTCCTGATTGCTTATGCTACTAGCTTCCACATTCTTTATAGGTGTTGTAGGAATTATTCCATCAAGTAGCCCGAAACCTTTTGGGTCCTTTTGTTTCTTTTTATTGTGTTTCGGTAAGCTATGCAGCTCTACTTTGCTCAGCAGATACTTCTCCCACTCTTCCCGCATGGCCTTCATGAGAGAAAATACACCATTAACTATTCCATATCCAACATGTTGTTACATAAGCAAACATATCATCAAAAGTCAAGGAAAAACATGGGATAAACAAGTATCAAACCAAGTTGAGTCTATGTATGAACTCCTCCTCTAATGAAATGTATGAAAGAGTTAATCAAACCTTTTAATTTGAATTTCTAAGTACATTCATCAGATGTTGCTTCAAAAGAAGTACAATTACATATGAAGTTTTCTTTGACATCTTTCACATGCAAAATGAACTTAATGAGAGACAATAGAGTATGTAAGGCTGCGTTTAGTAACCGGAATCGTTTTCTGTTATCTGTTGTCAGTCCCTAAAAAGACAAAACAAAAACAAAAAACATGTTTAGTAATATATTTTTGTTTTTCTGTAACAGAAAACATTTTTTATTTTTGTGAAGAAAAGAGGAAACATAAAAAAGGCGTTTCTCATGTTTTCGACACTGTTGAGCAAAAACGTTTTCACTATTATTATAACATATACACTGTTCATTTCAAATAAAATGTATGTTATTCATGTTATATACTAATGCTACATATTAAATACTAATAAAAATTATATTTTTAATATATAATTATATTATATTATATATTAGTGTAAATTATTTTTTATTTAACAAAAATATATTTTTTAAATATAATATATTATATAATAGTGTAAATTATTTTTTGGGACAAAAAAATGATTTATTATATATTTATTATTTATTTTACATAATAGTATTAAATTATTTTGCAACAAATATAATATATTATTATATACCATATCTATATTATATTATAGTTATATAATTTAATATTTTTTATTTATTATAATATAATATAATATATGTTAAATATATTATAGATTTTATAATGAATGTATAGATGATGCATATGAATGCACTTAAATACATAATTGGTTAGTGTTTTTGTCCTAAAATATCTTATTTTGTACTTGCGTATTAAGTATTATTAAGATTTGTAATTTTAAATTGAATATTATACTTTATTATTATGTATTGGGTATTTTTAATATTTGTGAAATAATTGAATTGCATACCTATTTAAGGTTTTTTTGTACTAAGGAAAAAAATTTTTAAAAAAAATGTTATGTATATCTGTAACAAACATGTATTATTAAACACTGTTATTGTTTTTTGCTTTCAAAATTGTGACAACAAGAAGTGTAAATAAACGTCATTTTTGCTTTTTATTTGTCACTTAAGAAAACAAAATTATGTTTCTGCTTTCTTGAGGCTGCAAAAACAAAAAACGAAAACGTTACTGAACGCACCCTAAGTCCAATCCAACACACAAGTGAATATAAAGGAGACCCATAACCATCAGATGCTTCCTAATAAAGTGGAAACTATGGCAGCATTTTCTTGACAGAATATTCTAAGTTTTCAAAGCCTTAGTTCATCATGAAAATAGAGTAAAGATTTGCAAAAGCTGTGTAAACAGATAAACAGTGTTCATTATGTTCAACTGCATCAGCAATGACGTCCAGTTACTTTTTCATACATGGTTCAGTCTCTGTATTTCCTTTAAGCTGGATTGATTGATTGGATACTGAGAGGACTTTTAGTATTACTTTATGAACTCTCAGAAATTCACTATTAAACAGCTCCGCTGCAGATACCAAACCTTTTATAACAACTCCTAGGTTTAGAACTATGGTAGGATGTGTCCAATAGAGCACTAAAAGCTGCAAGGTAATTAAGTAGGATGAGGTAGGGTTGATTGAATTGTTAGCATGTGTTAGTCTTTTCTTGGTAAACGTTAGTATGTGACAATGTGTATCTAGGACCAACTGGGAATAAAACGCATCAAACAAAGTGAAAAACCTTATGTGGGCCCTTCATGATGCAATCTTCAAGCTGCATGCAAGTGCGTTCATCTTTGCATGCGACTAAAACAATGCCATTATCATCCTCTTCACCTTCAACCCCGCACTCTTTCCTTGACAAAACTTGCTTCTTTCTTTCGTCTTCTATTTCTTTAAGAACCTCCTGAAATAAATATTCTAAAGGTAAATGCATTGAACTGCCAAAGCACTGATCATTTTTATTAACGCCACTGCATTTGAAATAAGAATCGGTCAAAATAACTTTATTTTCCTTTTACTTATCAATAAAAAGAATTGGTCAAAATAACAACTGGGGAAAGTGATAAAAGTGGGAGAGACTCAACCCAAAGAAAATATTCTTATAAAATGCAATATCATTGCAAACATACATATAAATATGAACTTTGAGTTACTATTCTACAGAATTATTAACAATAAGCAACATTATTCAAGGGACATCAATGAAAAATGGAACTCACTCACTCACACGTAACACCTTCCACTTTGGTGCCTCCTCCAAGACTTCCTCCAAAATTAATCCACTATTTGTAGGCGAAGGCAAAGAATCTACATATGCATGTAAAGAAAGCAAAAGTCATTAATATTGTTTTATGATTTATAAAATGCAATTTTTTATTTTAAAACATTTAGCTCTTTGTATTCTTTGTCAAATTTCAATTGAAGTGTGAACCTTTTCTAAAAGATTAATTGTCCATTTTCCTTTTTACCTGAGAGTTGATTAATATCTATTTCAAATCAGAAAAGAGAGAACATTTTCCTAATTCAAACCCGAATGATGGAAACATCATGGATAGCAATCTTCAGTAAATAGACAATATAAAATTAAAAGCTAAAATAGAGTGCTCATATAATCATATTTCATAGTAAAGCAACAACTGCACAAGCTAAACAATACACAGAGCACAAAAATCTTACCTCCTTTTTCCTTGCTGCAAAACTCCAATTTTCTTTTTCTTGTCATTACACTCTTACTCTGTTCAACCACTTTCGCACCACCCGACCTCCCAAAATGATAAACACGCTTCTTTGCATACTCAAAAATCTTATAGCTCGACTCTGCAAATATCCAAACAGACCGAAAACTCTCTGATGCTCTCAAGGAATCCAAATACTTCAAATAAGTCACTGCATCATATCTAACCAAACAGCGTATTAAAGTTTATATCCAAAATCATTATCTATTCATGAAGCAAAACATTTCTTCTCCCAACATGATAATCCAACAACTCCCCAAAATTGCCAAATTAAACCCATCAAATATCATAATCAGCCCCCTAAGAAGATATCCAAAAAAATTCAACAAATTCATCAAATTTTCAAGTTATAAAAATCACTACTAATTCATAGATAACTGATAACCCTAGAAAAAGATTAAACATTTAATGGCCAACGTAAATGCAACAACTGCTTCTCTCTCATTCATATGTGTTCCAAATTAATACAATAATTACCCCAATAAAACAGACACCAAGATATATAGTGCATTACGGCTAAATTTTTTTAACTTTCTCTAATTAAAACAACAATTAACTTACAAAAAAGAAATTCATTTTGATACCTGACAAGGTAATCCAACAGCTTTCTCAATGTCTTCAAATCTGAAACCAGTTGCTTTGTCTTCTTCCCCAATGTATGCCAAATGGGATCCAATTGTCTCCTCACAATCTCATCAAACGACTTGAACAACCCGTTCTCCACTGTCAAATCCTCCACATCTACCTTGTTCGTCTTCCTCATCTCCTTCAGACAAGCGTCCAAAACCTCAATCACCGCCTTCTGAATCGCCCTCATGTGTGCCGACATCGGAACCCTAACGTCCACAACCTCCGGCGGATCCCTCTCCAAATCCTGGGATACATATACCTGAAACCGCGGCCACAAGTGCAATTTCCTCAAATACAAGCACTTTAGGGTTCGCTCCGCCTTAGCGAACCCAGATACCATCGAGTTGGGCTTATCGGAGAAGGCGCGAATGTAAAGGGACCGATTGAAGGACCTAAGGATCCGAACGATGAAGGCCTCGGTGGAGGTTTCGGAGAGAGAGTGAGCGTTGAGGAGGATGATTCCGGCCAGGTCGGAAGTTGGGAGGCGGGAGGTTAGGAGGTCAACGATGAGGATGCGGGCGGTGATGAAGAAAGCGCCGCCGGAGGAGTAGAGAGAGAGGCGGTGGTGGGCGGGCAGTTCGGAGGTGATTTCGGAGGGGATATTGGGGGTTTCTTCGGTGGTATTAGGGTTTTGGTGGTGGTGGTGGAGGGCGGAGAGGATCGATGATTTTTGGGAGGGGGTGGTGGAGAGGAGGAGGAGAGTGCCCTGGGAGGGGTCGTGGAGGAGGAGGAGGGCTGCGATGAGTTTGTGGAGGGCTAGGCCGGAGGAGAGCACCACCAGTCCGCCGCTGGGGTCTTCGAGTAGATCGGAGATGATGTGCTCGTGGAACTGTACCATTCTTCACTCTCTCTCTAAACGGTGGCGGGAACGTGAGAGAGATAGGGCAGTTGAAGACTCGGAAGTCGTAGGTATACATGTATGTATAAATGTCAAATGCATGCGTGAATGCGAAGTTTTTTTTTGGGAAGGTCGTGAAGGGGCAATTTCGAGACTTGAATAATGGTGGACTACTTCATAATATTGAATTTTTGCAGCATAAATTTCTCAAAACAAATTTTTGCAGCATATCTTTTCTTTTAGAAGAAATAAATTAAATCTTTTAGAACACCGAATTAAAATTTTTACTTCTTTTATTTTTTTCCATACTAAGAATAATACAAGTCCTTTATTTCAAGATAAATCATGTTAAATCAGCCCAATTTTTAGGTAGGGAGACATTTTTTTATTCTGGTATTTACATTTTATTTCCTCTTCATTTGATTCGTGGATTTAAAAAAGAAAAGAAGAAAACAACCTAAAATAAATTAGTTCCCTTGGCTATCATGAAAACAAGTAAGAAAATAAAATTGAATAGATTAATTTAAAATTTAACAAATTTTACTTTTTCTTTTTCTAATATCCCATCATTTATAAAATGTAGTATTAGTTTTAAGATTATATCTAACTAGAGAGACAATAGAGGGAAGTCGTTTCTCCTTTTACTTTTTCTATATTTTTCATTTTCCTCACTCAATCCCCATAACAAGAAGAACCTTAAAAAACACAGTTCTCATATCTTCTGTTCTCCTTTAAAAATATTTATTTACTACTGTATATAGAAAGAAAATAAAAAAAAATTAAAAACAATAAATATTTTGGATTTTCTGTATGTTAATGTTATAACTAATTCATCTGGATTCTGAAAATGTCATGCAAAATTTTTGAGTAAAAAAAAAAGTTGTATGGGATCAGGAAGAACAAATAGGAGATTAATTGCACAAAATCAGTACAATCATATGCACAGCAACAGCTGAAAGCCACTTCAATCCGATCCCGCATTGGCATTGATACTCAAAACTCCATCGCTTGTCTTCTTCATTCTTCGGAACCACAAGGGTACAGGCTTTTCCAACACCGACACATTAATGTTGTTCCAGACGTCCATTTTCGCGGGAAGCTGCGCGATTTTCTCTGCAATTCCAATGTCTTCTGGAAGAACCGAACCAAACACTGTGTATGCGTGCTTCCACTCTTCATGGTTAGCCAGGCTTATGAAGAATTCGGGACCAGAACCAACCCATGCAACCGAACCTCTTCTTATCGTAGGACAGACTTCCTTGGGAATTTTCATGAATGTAGATCCTTGGGCTTCAAGCGTTCCTTGGATCAGTGCAAATGGAGGGCCAAAGGAAGCCTGCAGAAGTAACGAAAAGAACATTCGAGTAAATGTAAAATGCTTAACAGAATAATGGGAAGATTACAAAGGCTTACACACACAAATGAATCACTAGAAACAACCAATTGCTTGGGTGCAGTAAAAATGAGTTTCCGTGTTTCTGTATCTATAAAGGATATGAACTTCACTTCGATAGTTAAGCCAATCCCCCTCTTTGTTCCGAACACACAAATTTAAGTGAAACGAAAAAATCAACCAAAAAGTACGTCGAGATTAATAAACTTGTACTATATCATTGGATTTATTTCTGCAGCAATATGCATACAGTCAACTGAATTGCAAGAAATTGAAATATGTTCTGTGAGTTCCTTCTAAATAACTTGTAACAATAAAGTTTAGGGAAGGCGGTTGGAGGGTAGCAAGAGGAAGAGATAACTGAAGCAAAAAATGAAATCATTGATTTGTTCTTATCCTGCTACTTCTCACTCCACAAACATCATAATCCTGGAGAATAAGAGTGTCACACATACACATAGAAATGGTCCTTGCATCAATTCATACTATCATTTGCAAAATAGCAAAGGAATCTATCTATCAGATTAAGAACAAAAGAACATGCTTTCAATTGTGTGCGCATACTATCACTGCATAGCCAATGTAAAGGAAAAGAACACAACACTAGCAATTTTGTTGGTGCACCTTTTCTGGTTAAATTTTTATTGCAATTGATTCACTATTTGAAGATATGAATTTGTAAACACCTCAAGCAATTAGTGCAGCCACATCATTCAATATGTAATTAACCTATAGGTTTCAAACAAATTCCCTACTGAAGTTTTGAATAAACTTACAACACATAATAAAAAAGTAATATATCAAAAGATTGAAAAAAAAAAAGATGGGGAATGAAAATTCAAAACCTTATATCACTGGATATAGCACTATGGATCGTATAAAAGATCCTTCTATAAATGGAAATACAGAAAGGATACTTTAAAAAGAAATAAAATGAAAAAAAATTCTTTAAAATGACAACAAAAGGAAAAGAAAATAAAAGAGAAGTACATGATCCACATACAACAATCATGATAGCATTAATGATACAAGTTTATACTATGTATATGCTTGTACACGTGGCAAAAATTGTGACACTTAAAAGGAGATACTTAAGAAGCCTTACATCTTTAATGTGGTTCCCTTCTGAATCCCAAGATAAACCGCGACTTTCAGCACGATAAAACTGGCAACCTGCACAGTGTCGCAACCCCAACAACTCAAGAATGTAGGCCACTGAATGTGGAGCGCAGTCAGACAGAAGCTGCACCAAGCCATATATTGTCACGGAGGGAAAAAAATGCAGGACAAATGTTGCACCAAGAAAATATATGGATCAAGTCTATGTTGATGATAGAAAAATGAAAATTACATGCAGATAGGAAGTAAAAAAAAAGGACGACGAAAAATAACAAAACACGACTATATGTACTATAACAGTTAAGGTTCCTAGTCTTAAGGTCAAACACTAGAAAGCTTTCTTCACAAATCACGTGATCTTGCATGCAGGTAACACAATAAAGGAGTGAAAATAGTACTATTGGCACTACATTCAAGTAGTCAAATCTACTGGCTAGCAGATATTATTAGTATGAACATGCTTGTCAATGATGACACACATAAAATTGCATATCCCATCGGATATCACTTCGGCAACCATTGGTATCCGTTCTTTCTTAGAACTGCTAACAGATGCACCAAAGAAGCATTTGTCATTATGACAAAACATCTGCCAAATTAGTTAACTTGATAAGGGCTATCATTTATCTATTCACCATTACCATACCCACGCGCACACACACACACAGAGATTCTAATACATTTTACAACTAACATGAACACATACTTTTATATGAAGAGTGCCATATTCTGTTTCCAAGCCAACGATGCCCTACAAGAGAGAAAAAAAAAAAAAAAAAAAAAAAAAAAAAAAGAAGAAAAAAAAAAGGAAAAGAATTGTTATAAGAAAATATAACTACATAAGCGAAACATCTAAAAGGGAAAAGACTGCAAAGTACACCACTCACAAAGTATTAGAACAGCAAGTCGAAAATGTACAAGAATTGAGAAACTTTTAACAAGGACGGGCATATTAACGTTTATATCAAGGATCAGCATTCATATTCACACACACACAAAAAAAAAATATATATATATCAGCATTTAGAATTGCAAATGAAAAGGTAAGAAGTGTTTGGGCAAAGACAAAAAACAGAAATGATAGCAAGATGTTGGGCAGCAACCACTGCTATTCTCCTGTCCCTCATTTTCCCCACACAATGTGCTAAATCACTACAGTAGGATCCAGTGCAATTCTTTTAACTTGCATATTGATGCAATGCCCGTCTTACATAATATTCTTATTTGACATGACCTGCAGGAAACTGTTGTGCTACATGACAATGTAAGACATTCTTCGCCAACAAAAATGCCCTGCATTAAAAATGAAAAAGTCCCTGCAGTGCAGTTTGTAATGCAGTATTTATCAATATGTGCTACCTCACATATTGACTCTCTTGCTCTCTCTCCCTCTCTCACATGCACACGAAACAATCCTCTTGTGAAGTATTGAGGTATACAAACAAGTCTTGAGTTCGATTCCTTCTTTTCTACAGTGAATATCTTTTCTAATCCTCATAGCAACTAGTCCAATCAATTCCAATGATCTTCTCAGAGAGTCAGCAGTACCTAGAATTTTTTACTACAAAAAATTTAAAAATGAACAAGAGAAAGAATGACTAATTGATGAGAACAATATTGTAATAAACCCAATAATAGATCATATGTATATAATATACTACAAATGGAGAAAAAAATGTCATCAAATATTATTATTATTATTTTCCTGAATATGTCATCAATTACTTTAAAATACTAAAAAAAGGCACAAAAAATTCTAATAAGTTCACCATGGTTGTATACCTCTCCTTTCCCAAAGATAAGGCCAGAAGTCCAACTGACTCTGTTTCCAGCTTCCTGCCGGTCAGGGACGAAGGTGTCCTTCTGTTTCTTCAACCAACACTGTTTTTGAAAAAAAAGAAAAAGAAAGGAATAGACAATGTAACTCATGCAACTGAGGGAAAATAATATCATATAGGCATAAATTTATGTAACCCATTATGATGTTAGAGTCTACTAGACAGCAAAGAACATGCGTAAACTAAATTTTATGTGCCTCATTTCAGGAGATGGTAAACAACTTTTTGCCAAAATAGGCCATTCCCAAGCATTTGAAGATGGGTTTCCTAAACTCAATCAAACAGTAGTTCAATTGGCCAAAATCATAGTAGAAAGACCACTCAAGGAACTAAAATGCATGATACTATTAGCTCTTACGGAAAGTAATTCCTACAATGCGTTGCAGCACTATAATGGATCAAAATCCTAGTAAAGACCTCTGTGATGTGTTGAGATCAATCTTTCACTCATCCGATAAGTAATTTTTGCAATGTACCACTTAAAGAAACTGTTGCTCGATATCAATAAGTATTAAATCATATAGTCCAGATCAGTAAAGTATGATCTTTAAGGAATTAGCTGCAGAGAAAAGCCATTCCTGATTATTGATTGTACAGCAGTCGTTCACCTGATTCTATATTCTACTGATTGTCTTTTTAGAACCAAATCAGAGTTTGATTGATGTAGAAGTAATATTCATATATTCTGAATTGAAAACAAGGCATTACTAGAATTATGCCAATTGCATATCCTCCCAATTTAGATAGATACCAACATACAAAAATTCAACTAAAACCCAAATTAGATTCCTTAAAAAAACCAGAGCACCACCAAATAATTGAAAATAAGACATTGCAAGAAGTATATCAATTGCATGTCCTACCAATTTAGATAGATTCCAAGTTTCCAACATATAAAATATAAGTAAAATTGTAAAACACAAATCAGCTTCTTTCAAAGAAAACCAGAGCACCACCAAATAATTAATACAGAACAGCAACCCAATTCAACACAATAACAAATGATTAAAACCCATGAACTGAATTCAATCAAAACCTTCAAAAAGCTGTAGAATCAAACATCAATTCCAATTTACCTCACCGAATTTCGATCCACAAGCTTCCCGATTTCCGCAAAAAACCCAAGTATCACACAAACAAGGTCCATCATTTCCAGTACACATAGCCTTACAAGCCTTACAACACTCCTCAGAAGAATTGAACTTGAAATCTGAACCCCACTTCACAGCAGCCCCCCAGAGCTCCAAATTATCTATCCCTCTACAACACCCACCACTCTCTCTCCCCAAATCATTTCCACCATTGCCATCAGCTTCAGCCAATGACACAGACTCAAACGCTGATTCATTGCTGGGTCTCAACACCACCGTCATGAAGATGTAAACCAGAGTGAAAACAACAAGACCCATCAAGAGGAGGATCATAAATCCCCAACGGTTGGATTCGGGGTCGTTTGACTTCCGACCCATTTGAGATTGAGGGGTGAAGAGAAAAACCCAGAAATTTGTTTTGTGTTCTTTGAGATTTGGTAATGAAGGGTTTGGGAATCGTTGACTTGACAAACAAAATTGAATATCAAATCTTTTATAGTTATAAAATCAGTATTATAAATGAAACGGGGATTTACGTGTATAGTCATGGAGAACGACAGGAAGTGAATTAAAGACTTCTTTATATTTCCAGAATCGACGTATATATGTGTGTATATTTGGTCTCTTAAATGGAGTGCGATTCAGGGAAGGAATCGAAGATACGACATCGTATGAATCTTGGAAATGGTTCGTGTGAGAGGTTCGAAGATGGTGATGTTCACCACATGCCTTGTGCGGTCCAATAAGGCCAACATCATCTTTAGTTTTTAATCAGGGCATGTGACCATTTTTAAGGCTGTCGTTTTGTAACACCCAATAAGTCATACAAAACTATTAAACCAAAATAGTTGGTATTACTTTATAAGCAATGAAAGGATTCAAAGGAACTTGACATGTTAATACTAGTGTTCTTTAAAGTTTGAATCCTCTGCGGTGCTGGCACCTAAATTTTTTTGAACACATTTATTTTAAATTTAATAAATTTATTCAATATTTCATTATTACTTTAAAAATATATTTTTATAATTAATGATAATGTCACAATATTACATACAATATGACGACGAGATGATAAAATATCTCACTATGTATGGAGATTTAGTGCAAGTTACTTAAAAAATTGACACATACTCTTCACATATATATATATATATATATATACTACAAATATACATAATCTAAGGCATGTACCATGTTTTGCATATGGATTATGGAGAGCAATACTTCGAATTATACTTAATCCATTAGGTTTAAAACTTTAAATTAAGGAACTGACACTGGATACTGATTAATTTAAAAAGATGATCAACAGTAAATAATCTAATATATTTTAGATTGGATTAAGTCTAATCTGGTTTATAGGTCTAATATCATTCTAACACTTTCAAAGCATAAAAGCTCCTGACAATTATAATTTGTAAATGCAATGAATTATTTATTTTATTATTATTTTTATTAAAAAAATATTTTTATTTTAATATCATGAAATTTTGACTCCACCACTGCAAACTTGTCATCCTTTTTCTGGAATGTAAATATTGAGTAATAATTTGGAATATGATAAATGCATTCCGTTTTTTAATAAATGCGTTTTGTACATAAATTAAATGCTCTTTATACTTAATTTTTTTAATTGAATTAAGAACTAAACAATAATAGAGAAGTCTAAAGTTTTAGAACAAGTCATAGATATTTATGGAGTCGGTAATATTAATTTTCAAGAACGATTGTTATAGTTTATTCTAATATGTAGTAGAATTTTGTGAAGTTCATTTATGCTATTGATTACCTATAATGTTAAACCGTCTATATATAGGTATGTTTCTCAACAATGAAACAAACAATATACTTCTACCAACCAGAGTCTCCCAAGGAAAAATCCTATTTGAGCATATCCCACTCCCTCCACAGAAAAACAGGTGTCAAGGCTAAAAGCAAGCAGGTTACAAGGAAAACAGGTGTCAAGGCTAAAAGCAAGCAGGTTACAAGGAGAAAGAACGAGTAGCCGCTACCCGAATGAATATGAATCTTTGGAGCAAATATGCAATAAACTCAGAATAGAAATAAACACAGCAAAATATATTTTATGAATATAGAGGTAAAATAGAGAATATTTAAAAAATAGGCAAGCCATTATCTGCTTGTAGACACGGTGTTGTAACTTTGGTACCTCCCGAGGAAGATTTAGAAATAACTTGCAGACGTCTGATGTTGCTCTCTTTTATTCCTCAATTGCTGTTTTGTATCCTCTATTCGGTGATTCATCAAATTCAAATGTCATTTCTACACTGCAATTATAAATTAGGATGATTTGATTCCCCTGCTTTCTGCACAATGGAAGAGAAATTTGTTGAGATATTTTAATAAAATTAATAATATATTAAATATTATTTAATAGAATGGTTTATCATATTTGTATTGATGAAATAATTATATTTAAATTCTCTATTTATGTTACTATAACCGTTACACTCTTCTACACTATAAAAATGTTATATGTTTATCATTCTACAAAACGAAGTATGGATACGCATATATAGTGTGAGTGAGATTCTAAAATAATATATTTTCATCTCTCTATTATACTATTCTATATATGTATATGTGTATATTGTATTTGAGAGTATTTTACATATTGAGTTTACGAGCAACTAAACTTATATAGACTTGGACCTAATCTTTTTGTGGTCGTGCACATGGAAGAGACACCGCTGCGAGCTGATTGGGTTGTATCGTGGGGCTGACTAATTTCGCCAATACATGCACGAAGGGGAGGACTATCAGCTTTAAGTCAATGTGTTTACACATGCTTCAACAATCAGGCCAGAACTTTCTTACCTATTTTATTATTATTGTTTTATTTCTTAATTTATATTATTGAGTTAATATTAATATTATATTACTTAATTATTTATCTTATTAAATTCATATTCATTGTTATATCCATATTGTTCAAATGATGTACTATTCAGTTTAATAAAAGAATTATTCTTTGATTATTCATTGGTGGTGTTGTTCATTATCTTGAATCATTGTGTATGAATATTGTGGTTTATATTTTTTATAAATATGTGAAATTTCTACAACAAAATTATTCAACAAACCTTCATCACAAATTATGCTTCTCAACAATGGTATACTACTTGGGAAGAAAGGAATGAACGTATCTTCAAAGGAAAGATTTCTACTAAAAGAATGGTTCTCGCTAAAATCACATCTACCATCACTGCTATTGTCAAATTAGGCTTCCTTCGTGATTGCTCCTCTTCGAGATAGATACTCTTGGACTAGAATCTCCCTCCTGACTGCTACCATCCACCGCCGAGGCCACCGGACTGAAAATTGCTCTCATATTCTTCTCTAGGGTTACAAATCGGACTGTCCACTAACAACCTCCATCATTAACGGCCAAATAAGCCGTTAATTGCGGTTATTAGGTTTGAACTTTGGTCATGGGCTCTCCTCTTTTGGGCCTCCATTTAGACTTGTTACCATCTTTTTAGGTTGTTTTAGCCAAATTCCTGACTACTGCCGTCCACTGTCAAGGCCACCGGGCTGAAAATTGCTCTAGCATTCTTCTCTAGGGTTACAAACTTGACTGTCCACTAACAACCTCCATTAACGGCCAAACAAGCTGTTAATTGCAGTTATTAGGTTTGAACTTTGGTCATGGGCTTTCCTCTGTTGGGCCTCCATTTAGACTTGTTACCATCTTTTTAGGTTGTTTTAGCCAAATGACCCACCTTTTGTAATTAACCATTTTATATATAACAGTTGTTAAAATTCCAACCCAAAAAAAAAAAAAAAAAAAAAAAGGGTCTCCCAAGGATGTCATACCACATTAGAGTCTCCCAAGATGTCATGCCATATTTGTCTTTATTTAAAGTCATTGGAATCGCTATTGATTACATATAATATTAAACCATATGTCTACATATAGGTATGTTTCTCAACAATGAAACAAGCAATTTTCTTCTACCAACAAGAGTCTCCCAAGATGTCACACCATATTAGAGTCTCCCAAGATGGCATACCATATTTGTCTTTATTTAAAATCATTGGAATTGATCACATAATTTTGGTGAATTTTTTTTTTTTTTTAATACTTTATAATTGAGAATCAAAATAAAAATCTGTGATTTATAAGTAATATTATTTATTTAAAAATTACTTACTAAAGATACTTATAGGTAAAATGTTCTCGCACCCCCTATTTCTCTCATATTAAACCTAAGCCAATTTTACTAATACACCTATGAGGTTTGGTTTAATGTACTGTCACACCCCTCTTTTAAATATGATAAAATAAAATGCCTAAATTATCCTCCTTTATTTCAAATATATTTTTATTGTTGGACTTTTTTACCCTCAACTCGTTTCCGCTCTCTTTCTTCTGCATTACTGGAAGCAATCTCTAGTTGGAGTTAGCTTGTTTTTTATGTTATTCAGAAATTTGTTAACCCATTCAAATATGTTCTGTTTTCCCGTATCAGTTCCATTTTAATATGTTCCCATATCAGTTTCATTTTAAACTTGTCCTCATCTCGATATTACAGTGGCTCTATAAGCTAGTTTTAATCTGTTAACGCCAGTTGCAATTTGTTTCTGAGCTGATCAGTGGGCAAGGATTACCACGTTGGGTGTGCAAGGAAGCAATCTTTGAACGCCTGTGGTGGTAATCGGACGGCTATGCAAGGAAGGAACTGCCGGCTATGAAGTTCTTGTCATTTCGCCGTCAAACCCACCGGAATCCTCCATAGCTGACGCAGTTGAAGTCTCGATCCTGGACACAGCAACACGTTTTGGCTCTGAACAAGGCTCGCCATGGCCACGGTCGCAAAGGCATGGTGGTGAGCGAAGAAAGGTTCGGGGAGACAGTGAGGTGCTCCATGGCCACGATACGATCGCGACGGCAGTGAGGCGCTCAACGGCTACGATATATGGTGGGTCGTCGCTGCTGTTGGATCTGAACATGGCTCGTCGGGGGAAGATAGTTGGTTTGGATGGAAGATGGTTTTTGAGTTTATTTGGAGTATTAGGTCTTTGATGGTTTTAGGGGGTTTGATATGTCACCATTTACACATTTAGAGAATCCATTTATTGCAACAAGCTATACCTATACATAGTCAGTAATATTAGGAACAAGCCAAAGAAAAGATGCAAGTCTTTTTTCGGTTCTTTTCGTTGCATAGTTTCTGTCCTTGCCTTGGTTGTTGTGTTAATGAATATGGTGGAGGTGCCCGTACCCGCGGCAGTTGTGGTGTTGATGCTCATAGGATCTGATGGTTTCGGTGGCCTTAGTGGTAGCACCGGTGGTGATGGTGTGGGGGTTACAGTCGAGGAAGAGAGAGAGCGCTGAAGAGTTTAAGGGTAATATTGACCCAAGTTTAAGAGAAAAAATAAAGTCAAGGGTATAATAGTAAAATTACCTTTCTCATACTTTGAAAAGAGTATGCCAGAGTAATATTGGCTGGGTTTTAATGTGAGAGCAATAAATTACCTTGGGAGGTGCAAGAGTATTTAACCCAATAGTTATTTATCCATCTAATGTAACCCTTTTAAGGTTAAAATACGA